GTGTCCCGCCAGGGCCGCTGGGCAGGCGGGGCCAGGCGGTTCTGGAGCGTCGAGGGTCTGCAGCCTTCCTGGAGCACAGCGTGGCGCAGGCCCGACCTGGGTTCCTGCCGCCCCTGAGCGCGAGTCCCCACCCTCCCGTTTCCGACCTCAACCTGGGCAACAGGCTGTGCGGCCTCCTCTCTTGCGGTCAAAGAGTGCCCGTGCCAACAGTTCCCATTTTCCCTAAAGAATTCAAAAGTAAGAAAATGCTGCTAAGGAGACAGTCACTGCAAACCGAGCAAATTAAGCAATTAGTGAACTTCTGAGAGGGCTGCAAGACACGCTACCCTCACATGTCTACATCAGAGACAGAAACCTAGGGAAGGCATCTTAAATGCCAGTCCTTCAAGTCACACCACTGATTAGTCCATCACCATCAGGCAGATCAGAGAAGGTGTTGGTTTTAGGCACTGCGAACATGCAAATTATGTATACTGTCTGCGAGGGGAATTCTCCCAAACCGAATGAAAGCCATTTTCGGAAAATTTCCCATATTATCAACCTTCATGTGGTCCAAGTTTTCCATTTAAACAAAAATCAGCAAAGAAAGGCCAATTATGTTGGAGATACTTTTTTTTTTAAATGTCAGATTGGCTTAATATTTTATTAGAAAACAATGTTTTCAAATCAATTTGTAAACATTTCAAGTCAACAAATAAGATTATAATTTTCCATGAGGCCAAAGGAATAAAAGAAAACACCGAGAGCTATAAAAGTTGTAGCACCAACAAGCCTCAGCTGCAGAGAATGAACAAATTATTTACAAATTAACTGCAGGCAAGTAAAATCTAAAATTTTAAGAGATCAAAAATTATAGATAGAACAGTCAGACATATGATGTCAGTTAATGCAAGCTATAATCCATGCTGAGTTCGGTTGTCTGTTTCATTTTGTTTTTTAAACACACCTATCTACACCTATCTATATTGCTATCCTTTGGAATTATTCTTCCTCTGTATCTTTTAATCCCCCTTACTATATCTGGAAGCTTATTAAAGGCTTCCTGTAACAAGATAATACAAAGTTAAAAGTGTTAAAAAGCATTCCTCTTCACTTAAATTATCTTCCCAAGAGAAACAAATTTAAAAAAAAAAGAAAAGAAAAGCACCCTAACCAAAAGAGTTTAGGTTTTGTCACAGATAGAAACTAAATGCTTGCTTCATTAAAAAAACAAAACTAATTATTAGTTTAGGTTAGTGAAAATTACTAAAGCTAATAGAAAATCACAAAATGTAGTAAATATTTGGTCAGTACTACACAATATCATTTCTGATATGTAGTTGTTAGAATTCACATAATAGGTATAAATAAGGATAACACCCTACATGTGACATTCCAGCCATCTAGTATTTTAGGATTTATGAATAACTTCTAACAACTTCTATTATAAAGTACTGAAAAATGACTGTTAGCTATATGACTTCACAGTATGATGTTTATGCCAATAATCCTCATTTCAATGTATCAGTTCCAAAACAAAGAATAAATCAAACTACATAAAAGCCGAGTGTACCAATCTGATGACTGTTGAATTCAGTTTTCTTCCTCTGCCTTCTCTAAGTAGAAGTCATACTTGGCATGACGCTTTTCTTAGTGATTTGATATAAGCCATTTGCAGTGTACAGAGTAACAGTTCCTTGTGGCTTTCATTTTTAAAAGTATTTGGAGTTTTCCATTTTATGTTTTGGAGCAAATAATATTAGTTATACTAGAATTTTTTTATCCAGAATTTAAAAATTTGCAAGTAGCTAAATGCTTTTACCAAGAAAAGTGTTTTAAGGAAATGGTTGGGAAGGACATGTAAATAGCTTTAGTTTGTAAACAAAATGGAATCAATAAAGGTTTAAAATATCATGTTGACCACTACTGATTTTTATTCACCTCCCAAACTCATAATACTGCAACATTATTTCGAGAAAAACCACACATTCCTTTGAAGAAATAGAAAACTGTCTTCATCCCAACACGGAAAATAAGGTTTAGTAGAATTAAAGTTTGGGAAGTATTGAAGCTGCTGGAGATGCTAAGCACGTTTTAGGGTCAGCTGCAGTGAGGCGTGGACACCCTGGAGGTGGGTCTGCTGTTGGGAGTTCATGGGAGACAGACGTGTGCAGCAGGAACCAGAGGAGTGTGTGTGTGTGTGTGTGTGTGTGTGTGTGTGTGTGTGTGTGTGTGTGTGTGTACATGTACATGCCTGTGGAATATATCCTAAGTGGTACCTTAACTTCATGGAGAGCAGGGTTTAACTCTAACCTGAAGGTCTGGTGCCATTTTCAGTCACCCACGACGAGCATTTCCAAGAATACAGCTCACACTGACTCCTGGCAGGACATAGGCAGCCCGGTTATAAGACTGTGAGATGAGGGTTGGCACTGCCGCCCCAGCGATGCCCAGAGGAATGGCCAGCACCTGATGGCATGATCTTTGCTGGGGATACACCCATTGGTAATCTAGGACCACAGCCCTTGAAACCTTCAGATCCTAAAACTGCATTCTGATTCAATACTCACTTTGAGTTCCATGGAGTTTGCTTAAACGAGAGATGAACTTGTCAGTGTGGAGAGAAACACGTTCACCATGTTTTAAGACATTTGCACTCTGCCATCCTGGGGTCTTGGGGTCCTGGAGGGACAGCCTCTCCCAGGGGAGCCAATGCCCAGAGATAGAGCCCTTGCCCAAGGGGACACCTTCCAGCTCTCCAGCCTCATGGGCTCACAGATCCCAGGTGGCAGTACCTCCACCAGGGCCGCCTGAAACATCCATCCAGTGTCCTGAGTCTGCCAGCCTGGCACGGGCCTCCCTCCCTACAGAACACAGGAAAGCTCCTCACCCCTTTCCCTCGCTCCTCTGCCCCTGCTGACTTTGGGCAGCCTCCAGTGGCATTGCTGGGCTGGAAGCTCCTCCCCTCCCATGACATGAGAGTAGACATCTTCCAGAGTCACCTGTCTCCTCAGCCGGTAGCCTGTTTTGGATTATATGCAGATGTCCCCACAGCCGAAGGGGCTCAGAGGTGGGGCCTGAGATCCGACTGGACTATGGGGACCTGCTGCCGACTTAGTGTTGGGAGGGGGGCCTGTGGGGCCTGACCCAGAGCCTCTCCTCTCTGCTTCCTGTTCTCCATGAGGTGAGCAGCTTTCCTCCGCCAGACCCTTCCATCACCCTCCTGCCTTGCAGCCAGGTGACTATGGATAGCGACTGTGAGCCAAAATAAACCTTACCTCCTCTAGGTTGTGGGTGTTGAGTATTTGTCTTGGTGACAAGTGACTCAGAGATGGCAACAGCAACATAGTAATCATCATCATCATCATCAATTTTCCTTCTTTTAGTCTTTTGAGACATGGTCTCACCATGTTGTCCAGGCTTGCCTCGGTCCTGGGCTTCACGGCTTCTCCAGCCTCTCCTCCCTAGTAGCTGGGACTACATGTGCATTCCTGGGCCTAGTTCAAAACAAACAGGACCCCATTTGGTAGGAAATCATAATTCTTAGTTGACTAGCATTTGAGTTTACAGTTTGCATTTCTGTTCTTTAGGCACAGCACCTCCCACTGCTTCATAAAAGCTCTTAGAAGACAGATTCCGAGGCCGAGCCTCCTTCCCTTCCCTTCCTTCTTCTCCAGGTAAAAACCCTGCACTCCTCCCTCTCCCCATGCTCACATGACTCCTTTTCCTTCTTCCTCTTTACCCTTTCCTCCGTCTCCAGTCCTCCCTCCTTGTGCTGCTGCCCTAGTCCTGGCCCTCACCATTCGCTTTCCGAACCCGTGCTCGACTGGTTTCCCCAGCCAGCGTGCTCACTCTGCCGACACTAGACACTCTCGCGTGGACACAGCTTGCAGACCGCCCTGCTAGGAGACAGCCCACCTGGGGAGAGAGTGTGGCCCCAGCCCACCGGGCTCCCTCATCCGCAGTCCCTTCCCGGCTGGGGATCCTGCTCGTCTTCCATGGCCAGCTCAGTGCTCCCTCCCTGCGTGCCCCGGGCTTGCCCCACAGGTGGTGTCAGCCAATGTGCAGCTTGGCTCTGGCGTCTCCCTGCTGGGCGGAGCCACTTGGGAAAGGTGTGCCCGCTCTGTGCCTGGCCTGGGTGAGGCGCCTGCCCCCTTCCCTGCCGGCTCGCACCAGACCCCAGCAGACTCCAGGGTGACTGGTGCCCGCACAGAAGGGTTCTGGGTACACAGAGCGGGTGATGGCAGGGCAGGGTGACCGGTGTGGACACAGGACAAGGAGCCAGAGCTCCCTTGGATCCTGCTGCCCCGGACCTGACTGCCAGGTCTTCTGGGAATCTCCGACTTCTATGGAAACACTGTCTTCAGCCCCACGCTTCTGATCTGTCTTTTCAACGCTTAACTATTCTTGAGTGTTCACGAGTGTTTGACGCTAAGCCAGGGAGGCTCACATCTTAAAGATGTGAGAGCCACCGGCCGTTTTCTGTGTATTCGCTGGGCCCTCGACTTGCCTTACAACAGGAGAAAAAAACCCAAAGAACCAAGACTGCAGCTCCATCAAACAAGGAAACTAACAAACTGCTCCAATTACTTTACATAATTTCCCAGAAGATAAGTAAATGTGCCTTTGGGTTAATTAGCAACTGCATCTCTCACAGGACCAAGGACTACTGTGTTTTTGAGCAGGTCTGAATTTTGGAACACTCAAATCTCACCTAGGGCCTGTGCTGCTGGGTGTGGGAGGCATTCAGAGATTGCAGAATCTTAACACCAACACTCCAGACTCAGCCTGGAGGTGGTACCCAACCACACACCGTTTAGTTACTCACACCGCCTGCACATATAAACACATGCAGCTACACAGCAACAGCAGGATACCGTATGCTTTTTTTTTTTTTCTTATGGAAGGAGAGAGAAAGAATAGAAAGAAGTTTTATGTATTTATTTACTGTTTGTTTTTTTCAGACAGGGTCTTGCTTTGTAGCGTAGGCTTGCCTGGAACTCATGGCAATCCTCCTGCCTCAGCTTCCCCAGTGCTGGGATTATAGGCATGAGCCACACCTGGCTCATAATGCTTTTTTATAGTGTGTAATGACACATTTTAGCTCTTTCCATAGTAGCCTATATTTTGATGCACCAGTCTTTAAAACATCATAGAAAACTGGTGTGTCTACTTACACAGTGAAATGTAAGCCTGATGTTTTCTTTTGCCTACCCACGTGTCAAAATCACCAGGCTGAGAATAAGATGGAGAGTGTTCATCCAGAAACAGTGCCACAGCCCTGTCCCAGGCCGCGGCGTGCCCAGCCCTCTGCAGGCCCTCAGACTTCTCGGGCCACGGACCCTTTGGGCTCTCGCTGAGCTCACACGTGGGGCCTCACACTTCGGACTCCGGAGCTGCTCTTCTGCACAGCACCTTTAACACTCACCTCGCTGCTCAGTCTCGGTAGTGCAACACTTAGCGCTGGATGGTAAGTGCACTGTACGGTTCTACCGTTATTTAGCGATTTTCTTGTTGCTGATGGAAATTCGGTTGCTTCTAGTTTTCAGGGAAGAATACAGCTGCTAAGAACATTCCTGTTAAAATCTTTTTATGGGCACACTTGAGCTTTTTTCTCCTGATTATAAGCTTATAGACATGGTAGCGCACAGCTGTAATCCCAGCACCTGGGAAGCTGAGGCAGGAGAATTGCTGAGAGTTCGAGGCCAGCATGAACTACACAGTGAGACCCTGCCTCAAAACAAAACAAAAAAATATGAATATCATCAAGAGTAGACTAATTAAGAGTAATTTCTTCTGGACAAACTTTATTTAAAATTTTATTAAAACGTAATTCACTTATCATTTATTAATTGAAGTCATTTTATGAAAGCAAGGTATGGTCACTGTAAAAAACTTAAAAGTGTTTTTACTATAGTTCTAAATTATTTTTATGGCAGTTAAGAATTTTTTTTTTTTTAATAAAATTGCCCTTTGGCCTTTGGCAAACAACCACAGAAAAGTTTTAGGTGTTGTTCAGCAAAGCGCTCTGCACTCCACTCCAGATGAATTTTCAAGTGGGAAGTGAGGCTCCCCTCGTCTGTCTGTCCCACTGGGGATCGCAGTGCTCACGACAAGAGGATCGACCGGTCAGGTGATGGATCACATGACACGAGAGTTCACAACTGAGGTCACCACTGATGCAGGCCTCACAGCCACTGCGCCAGCCAGTTCTCACACCCCCTGCTGAATAAGTGAGCCTTAGCTGACGGGGCAGAAGACGTCCCCAAGTCCAAGGCGAGGCACAGCTGTATAGAAAGTGTCTGAGTTCAGAACCGAAGCTCTTTTCTCTACATAAAACCAATTTATTCCCTGGGAGAAAAGTGGCGGGTGAACAAAAGTAAACTTCATACCTCGGACATTCCCTGGTAGTTCCTGTCCTTATAAAGCAGAGAAGCCTTGTTCAGGCCATGCCGGGCAGGACAAAGGACACAGATTCCCTGAGGAGATGGCTCCTCTGAGTTGTCCTGACTCTGCCTCGCCAGCCCTTCTTCTCTGGTCCTCCTTCCAAACACGGCCAGGCCCAGGAGGGCCGGTATCCAACAGGAAGCAGGCGGTGAGCATCTCCTCAGTGCACAAAGCATAAACCAGTGATCACAATCAATACGGCAATTAATTCAGGCCAAAGCAGAGAAGGATATGAAACCAAAGCAAGCAGTAATTACAACAATCTTCTTAGAGATTAACGGTGATTCCGATGGCTTGTTTAAATTCACGGTTTTGTGGTTCCGAAATGTCATAAAAAACTTGCTTTTTATCAAAATGGTCTCTAATGTAAAGTAAATCTTCAGTGGAATAGTTATCACCCTTTCCAGTCCAAATGGTCAGGCTGTACCTATAATAAAATGAAACAGAACTATCCAGTTAAGAATGAGAGATCGGAAACAACAATTCTAAAAATACTCTCATTTGCCTCTAAACCAAAGGTACCTGGATAAAATGGCGTAACTATATTTCCTATTTCACTGCTTTATTAGCATCAAAAATATCCACAGAGCTATTGTCTCGCTGCCTAGCTGCCCTCTGTGAATGGAGTGGTAGTAGAAACCCAGAGGGTCCCCAAATGGCTCAGATTTGGAAAGGAAGAGAGGAGCCCACACATCAAGGAGGTGTCCCCTCCGGAGAAGGTGGCTGGGCCTGGGCTTGCCCATTGTGGGGTCAGAGCTTGAAAATGCGGGGTGCAAGAGGCTGAAGAGAAGTGGGAGTGTGGCAGTGACCTTCACAACATGACACGTGCGATGACCTGCGGTGGCCCTGCTGTCCCTAGGGGTAGTTTTTGTGAGATACGAGAACGCCAGGAGATGTCTAAGCACAGCATACAGAATAAATTTACATCCATTTCTGCAGTTAAACAACAGCACATGCGAGTCTTACACTGCATGAACCTGCCCAGCATCAAAGCCTTCTTTCCACAATACACTTCGTCCCTTCCAACAATCCCACCTATTCTGCATCTCAAAAATGCAAAGCCAAGGAAGTTTCATACCCATTTCCCCATCTGGGAAGTTTGCTGCACTCAGAGTGACAGGAGACGGCTGTGAGCTCAAGTCCTCAGGTCGGTGACCGCTTTGGGACTGCGCCAAAGGCAGTGCTGTGATAGACGGGTCAGGGCTGTGAGCCACAGCGGGAACCGCAGGCAAGGAAGAGCGAAAAGGAGCTCCCAAGCCTGTGCCTTAGTTTCCCCAGCACCCTGGTGACAGCCTTAGGAGGAGACAGACAGGATGGCCTCAGTGAAGGGGACAGCTTCCCAGGGCTGTGTTCGGCTAAGCCAAAATGGGAAAACAAAACTGCTGAAGGGGATCTAAAAGTGTTCTGGCTCAAGTCAGCTCTGGGGCTTCCTTGGCAAACCTACCTTTATTGTGGGAAGATATACATGCACATAACATATACAACACAGAGACACACAAGATACACAAAACACATGATACATAGACACACACGATACATGAAATGTAACGGAGGATCCTAACAGATGATTTTAAAGCGAATGCCAGTGTGACCAACCCAAAGCAGGAGCGGTCCTGCCAGCCACCTCTGAAAAAGCCCCACCTATGACTGCATGAGGTTTTGGGGGACATCTAGACACAGCCATACATTCTGCCCCTGGGCCCCCAGAGACTCATGCACAACCCTTATGTAAAAGGTATTCAGCCCATCTCTAAGAGTTGTCAAAAGCCTAACAGTTTCAGCATTGCTAAAAAGTCCAAGTTCAGTTTCCTCTGAGACTTAAGGAGCAAGCCCCTGTACAAATGAAAAGGAAGTTAAACACTTCCAACATTCAATGGTACAACATAGACATTTCTATTCCAAAAGGTACAAAGAAGGGGATAGAAAGGAATGAGACTAGAGCAGGTCCAAAATCCTACAGTGCAAACATTAAACCCCATAGTTCCATGTCCAGCATTCCCGGCAATCTGTGGCAAGATGTAAACTCCACAGGGCTTGGGTAGCTCTGTCCCTACAGCACTCACGGTGGTTGTAGCTGCCATAGATTCTCTCTTTGACTGGCTCTGCTCCCTTCTTGCAGCTTTCCTCAGATGATCCACGTTCCTGGTTTCTACAAACGTCTGGGGTCTCCACTGTATCTGTGGCTTCACACTCAGCCTCACACACTGCCCTCTCTCTGGCACCCTGCCTGGCCTCCCAGGCCTTCTTCTGAAGTCTGGGTGGAAGCCTTCCTGATCCCTACAACGCTTGCATTGTGCATGACCTAAGTCCAGCACCACGTGGATGACACCAGGGTCTGCCACCAGCTGGAGCAGTGGCCAGGCTTCCTTGTCTCTTGGCTGTAGGGGTCCAGTGCCTGGATCGCTGAGCACTCTGGGGCTCTCTTCTCAAATAAAACCTTTCACTGTTTTTTTGGTACCGGGGTCAAACTCAGGACCTTGAGCTTGCAAGGCAGGCAGCAGAACCACTGAGCTAAATCCCAGGCCCCAAAACCTTTCATGTTTGCAACTCTGAGGTTGCAAAGGCTGGAGTCCTGATGGTTCTTGCGTTGTCCTCAGGCCATCTTTTCTGTTGTCTTCTTCTGAAATACTTGGGTTTTTCCTGCTAGTCTTTTCAGAAACCAATTTCTCCTCTATTCCACCTTTGCAGGCCACAACTTCACTGGAGCTTTCTTTCTGGCCAAATCAAAACATTTAAAATCACTGTGCTAGGCTTTGTGCTCTTGGTTCTCAATATAAATGTGGATAAAAGCTCCTAGTAGCAGCTATGCCATGGCCCCAACATTAAACTGCCTAGAAATTTATTCTGCAAGATTAATTAGTACACCACTCTTAAACTTAGTCTCAGGCAAAATCTCTAGACAGGAGCAAAATGCAGACAAACTTTCAGACAAGGTACAACATACATGTTCTAGATTCCAACAGCCAATGCAGTCCTTTCCAACAGAAACCTCCTGAGTCTGGTACTTACCACTAGTATTTCTATCAGGATTCTGGTCTCCTGAGCTCCAACCAGAATCTCCCATGACGCATAGCCTCAGGCATTCCGGGGCTTTTTTGGCTGCCATCTCCAAACCTCTCTAAACTCTTCCCACAAGCCAATTCCAAAGGCTCTTGAACCAAATGGTCAGTCACAGAAACAACCCCACTCCTGGTACCAAATTCTAACATAGTCACTTTTCTCATTACTGAGAAAAATACTTGACACCCATAGTTAAAGGAGAAAAGGTTTATTTAGCTCATAGTTTGTAGAAAGTTTCTGCTCATAGTTGGCTGGCTCCAAGGCAGAATGGCATGACAGAGGGGCATCACACAGCAAAAATAGTTCATAGGCAGAAAACAGCAAAAGTGGCAATAGAAAGTCCAAGTGACCAGCGACAAGCCTGTCTGTCCCTTATATCTTCTCCAGGGTAGCACTCACATCCTTAATCCTAGTGCCCTTAACCTTAGCATTACACCATGAATCAATCTGAACATCACACACTCTAGATCCAGCCACCTCTGAAAAGCCCCACCTATGGCCTCATGAGGTTTGGGGGACATCTAGATACAAGCTATAACAGATGACAACATTTACTGGGCATCTTATACGTGCCAATGGTTCTGTGCAGAATCAGGTGGGAGACACGGTGTTGTCAGTGCAGGTTCAACCAGATACCGTGACTTGGGGAGGGTTTGTGCACACACACGGTCAGTTCTCTCCCTCTATTTCTTTCTCACACATTGTTCTTGAATGATCTGTCTCTTACATACACATGCACACCCTAGCTGTCAGACTAACACATACCTGTCTGACCTCTTTAGCAGCCAGAGTAACTGGGGACAGGACTGTCTGACCAATGCCGCCCGGACAGGGAAGGTCACAGGCTGACTCAGGCCATCACATATGAATTCCATCTCTCTCACCATCGCCCAACTGTACCCTAAAAGGAGAAGGAAGAAATTTAAGTTTCTTACTGGATTCTGGAAAAATCAATTAAAATACTTAATTACCTATGAATAGGTAAATCTATAGATAATGTAGGGGGAAATTTAGAGACAATTTTTTTGTCTGTTTGTTTTGTTTTGTTTTGTACCAGGGATTGAACTTGGGTCCCTGCGCTTGCAAGGCAGGCCACCGAACCGCTGAGCTAAATCCCCAGCCCCAATTTACAGACAGTTAATGAAAACTTTCACTTAGATTCAGAGTGAATTAAAAGACTGCTTAAGGCTAGAAAATAATTTGAGTTCAAAATGTAGATTAAAAATTCATGCCCAGCAGACATGGTGGTACATGCCTGTGATCCTAGCACTTGAGAGACTGATGCAGGAGGATCACCAGTTCAAAGCCTAGGGCTCGGGGTCTAGCTCAGTGGTTCCGCCACCTGCCTTGCAAGCTCAAGGCCCCGAGTTCGATCCCCAGTAACAAAAAACAGACAAACAGACCAGTTCAAGGTTTGTTATAGTGAGATCCTGTTTTAAAAACTAAGAATAGCAGCAAAAAACATGCCCTACTAGGGCTAGGGGTGTAGCACAGTAGTATAGCATACAGTTAGCAGGCACGAGGCCCTGGGTTCAGTCCCCAGCACATAAAAAAGAAAAAGGTTTTAATCTCACCAATGCAAAGACACAAATTTGACACTATTTTAATTTATTTTAAATATTCTAAGGCTTATCTTTTAGGCACAACTAGGTCATTAATATTCTTCTTGTTTTGTTCATTTATTTATTCATTTGTGGTACTGAGGGTTGAAACCAGGGCCTATGAACTGAGTTACATTTGAATCCTTTTTTAAGACACAATCTCACTAAGTCTCTAAGGTGCCTAGAATGGACTTGAACTTGTAATCTTCCTGACTCAGCCTCTCAGAGTATTAAGATTACAGGTGTGCACCACATCTGGCCCTAATATTCTTTATAAGCCAAAACTTTCTATTTATGTTAACTAAATTTTCTTTCCAAGAAAAGGAGGTTGCTAGATATTTACTAGTTGTGTAAGTGATAATTAACTTCAGTTTTCTTTTTGGCTAGTCCAAATTACTTACACATTTTACCGACGTAGAAGCAGTAGTAATGCTGACTTTATAAATCATGTTAAAACATGCAGAAAATAAACTTGCCTATTCATAAACAGCATTGGAAAGAAAAATTTTTAAAAATCAGACAACATTCTATCAGAAGTTAGGTTGTAAAGTACAGACAGGTAAGGAACGTTTATGGAAATTCTAAGTGGATATGGTAGTTTAGCAGCTACATTTCCGATAAACAGGAATTCTCTTTTTCTTTAAAATTTAGGAAACGGTATTTCTATTATTAGAAGGAGCGATTACCTACAGGAGCTAAACCTCCGCAACTATAAATCTACAAACACTTGATTTTAAAAATTGCAGAACGAGAAGAGAGGGAGGGAAAGCCAGAGTTGCTGATGATGAGGGGAGGCCAAGGTTGGCCCTGCAGCGCCTGTGGGCTGAGGCCAGTGAGGAGGTGCTAGGCGCTTCCTCCTTTACCCTCCTCATTTGTAGTCACATGCTAGGTCCTCCAATGACAGGGACAGAAGGAGCTGAACGATGGAGCTGGGTTAAAGGGCGCTGCTCCTCGGGCTCCATCCAGTCAGTCCTGGCTGGCAAGGCCGCAGCCTTAACAGCACTTCTCACTGAACATGACGTCTGGGGCGGGCATACTCTGGGGAGCACCTGCGTCTGAGCGCAAGGCTCTCGGTCCCATCGCCAGTGTGGCCAAAGAGAAAAGAATCACAAACAAGAGATGGACAGCAGGAGACAGGGAGATGGATCTTTTGCATATGGGAAGGGACCGAGAGGTGGAGGGAGGGGAGGGGAGAGGCTGAAAGACATGAAGATGCGTTCTGTGCATGCACCAAGGTCCCCATGACTGCCATTACTGTGTACTGCAAAGATGTACGAGTGAAATATTAAATAAACATTAATAGCAAATGAGTAAAAAGTGAATGCTCCGAAACCACAGGATAAAAGCTGGCATCTCACAGCCCCTAGACGCCCGTCAGCTGACCCTCTCCATCCTGGACAGAGGTCCAGTGCATCGTGACCTCTGGCTGCTGACCTGGAAGTGACCGCCTGGGACACGTGGGGAACTAGAGAGAATGGGGCCGAGGACTCAGCCACGAAGAGCAGCTGCAGTCAAGCCCACCATGGGAGACCCGCATGGAAGGAGGGGACCACGCCTGCTGTCCACCGTCCTGTGTGGCCAGCAAGGACAGTGTCCAGTGCAGAGCATGTCTCCCTCAGTGCGCTCCCCACTTCTGCTTCAGGCTGCCTGGGAAATGTCCCCGACCTTCTTCTGAGGTATGGAGGAAGCTAGCCCGGAACGTGAGCTCAGGATGGTCTGGGCCCCTCTGTCCTTTGCGACATTACCCCAGAAGCTGGTGACAGAGGGCACCACCAGTGTCCACCTCAAACAACGGAAAGAGCCCGGGCACACACAGAAGCTGCGATTTTGGGGAATGTGCTTTGGCTTTGTATCAGAGACGTTATTTTCATAACCAGAGGCTACTTTACTCTGACCGGCGACAGAGTCAACGTTAGGGCAATCACCTTCATTGGCATTCTCGGGATGCCATCCCGTCGTCCAGCCCAGGGACAGCGTCACTGCTGGAAAGAAGGATGTCACAGTGTCTATAAAGGGCTTTGCATCCACGACGCTGCTGCTTCCACTCGGACCAGGGAGAACATCAGCGTTAATCCACACGGGACGCTGCCAGTGACCTCTCACCGCGTCCAGGAGGACCATGGCGGGCTCCACCGCTGCCAGGCTGGGGACACAGTCCATGGTCAGTGGGACACAGTACGACACCTCAACGATTCAGGGTTCTCAAGTTGATAACAAATAAAATAACAGCAGCTGAGCTCAACATCCAAGATCACACAGCAGCAGAAGGGGACTTAGGGTCTGCGAAGGGTGAGTGACGCCACTACCAGGGACTGGGCAGGGGCCTTGAGTCCCACATCAGGGTCACTGAGGGGGACAATTAGGAGGAGACATGCAGCCAGGACCACAAACCGAGCACCCTCACAACCTTTGAGTTTGCCCCCGGAAAATCCCCACCGCCCGGGCCTGCACGCCTGATACACCCAGGAGCTCACAAGGAAAGAGACCTTCATTCCCTCTGGATATCTGTGGGAGCCTTTGGAGGCACAAACTCATTTCTAAAATGGGCCGTGAGGCATAAAGCCATATGTCCTTACAGCTTTCATAAAATGCACTTTTTCTTGTATTGTAAGCACTGTTTTTGGAATCTAGAGACAAGGATATTCAGTTATTTTAAATTGCAAAGCAGCTTCTTCTAGTTCCTTTTCTCTTTTTTCCTCTAGCTGATAGCTACAGACATCAGAACAAGAAGGTTTCAATCAGCCTACATCGTTCTTACTTTTTAAACAACTGTCCCTAGCTCTTCTGGTCAGCTTCCCTACTTACAATTCTGTCCTCCAGAGCTCTAAGACGAGCCTTCTGCTGCCTAGGCACCTGCAGTGAAGGCTTCGAAAAGTGGGACCCTCTCCTTCGGAGAGTGCACAGCCTGGGGCCTTCCTCTCCCGCCCACAGGAGACACGATGACACCTCCAGCCCTTGTTTCCTGCACACTCTGCCCCTCCCCCCTCCATCCAGCTGCAGGCCCAGCATGGTGGACTCAGCCCTGCTGCCCGGCCTTCGGGCCTTGACCTGGACACTGCCACTTCTGTCTGAGATGCCTCCCAGACCTGTGCTGTATCAAGGCTGGTAGAACCACGATTCTGACTCACGTGGAACCACAGAAGACCCAGAAGAGCCACAGGAGTGCTGAGCTACTTGACTCCAAGCCTTGACTTGACTTGACTTGACGTGAAGCCAGCCTGGGCTACGTAGTGAGCTCAAGGCCAGCCTGGCATACAGACTGTAGTGAGTCTCTGTCTCAAAAAACAAACACTAAAACAAAGGAACAAAAAGGCTGAGACTCAACTGCCTGATACTGACTAGCCCAGCCTACTTTCCTATGAATTTTGTTTAGAAAAGAGAGATGACCTAACAAAAATTATACTTCAAATAGTAATAAATCACTTAAGATTATATTTAGGGGAGAAAAGTTCTTTGCTAAAACTCTAGAGGTGGTTAAAACTCCAGGTAAAGTGTTAAATCACTATTTATTACTTACTACACATACACTAAAGAAAATAACTTAAAAGCTCAACCCCAGAAGGGCCAGAGCCTGATGCAGGTGGGCAGCAGCGCTGTGGCTGAGAGCAGGTGGCAGGTGGCTTCCGCTGCCAGCTGTGTAGCCCAGGCTGCTGCCCCCACCTCTGATGCCTCATCTGGGGCACCGAGACCTGGTGCCGAACCCTCAGGAGGGTCGGGAGGAGTGAATGAAATTCACTGTGATGCTCTCACAACTATCTTTCATCGCTATTAGTTTATGCCCATCCTCTTTAAATGTTATGATTTAAAAAAAAAACAAAAAACTGTAAAATCTATCTTTATTGGCCTGGCCCTCTTGTGGCAGTGCTTAACATTTAAGAATAAACAAGCTCGTCTGTGAGAAGCCCAAGAATACATCCTGGGGAACGATTCAGGGTCCATGAACAGAGAAATGGATCAAGAAAATGTGTTTTGTTGTTTGTTTTTTTAAAACACACAATAGAGCACTACTGTGCCATAAAGCGGGATAAATTTAAGTCACTTGTAGGAAAACAGATGCACCTTGAGACCATAGTGTTGAGTGAAATAAATCAGAAACACAGTTTAAAGATTACATGGGCTCTTTTACATGAGAAACCCAAAGTATAAATAAAAATCAAAATAACAGATCATAGGAAGCAGGAAGACAGATCTTCTGTAAATGGGCAGGAGACCAAGGGCTGGAGAGAGGGGTAAGGGAAAGGACAGGAAGGGGTCAGAGACAGAATGAAGATGTGTTCTGTCCATGCACCAGCCCCACACTGAATGTGATCACTACAAACTGAAACAGGGACTCATAAAAATAACTCATAATGAATCTATGAAAGTCCAGGAGAGCTGAACTCAAATCGCCAGTGTTAAGGCCAAATGCTGCGTTCCCCCCACAGAGAGGGCTCGGCTCAGGAGACCCAGGGCCCCGCTGGCATGTGGCACCGCTCTAGCACTAACGGCCTTGTTGGTCACGCAGGGGTGAGCCCAGCCTCCACACTGTGCTCAGACCCGGCTCTAGGCATCCACCCCTGCCCGGCAGAGGGGTGGAGTGAGGGGCACGATCGGCCCCAGGCACAAGGCTAGTCATCTCAGTCCTGCAGGATTTCCAAACCCTTGTACTTCTTGAGGCAATTCCATTTGAAAATATATCGGAGATGAGGCTGGTGATCCCCACTCCTGGCGTTCTGCGGCAGCGGCCTCCGGGGGGGCCCCGGGGGTGGTTTCCTAGGGTCACAGGCCGTGCCCAGAAGTGAGGAGAGCGAGCTTTGCTGGGATGGCCACGGCCACGCGAGTGCTGTCTCATCTCACTCTTCCCTGTTAATGCTCCAGAACAGTAGGGGCCCTTGGTTACTGAAGGGCCTTATAAATATAACCTAAATCAAATCGGGCGTGCATTCACTACTTCAACAAACTTCTCCCAACTCTCTCTTTCTCAGGCAACTTTTCAGTAAAAGAATCATTTTAACTTACATCTGTCACCACAATGGTGACTAATGATAAACTCCGTTAAAAACTCACGTTAGGGCTGGGGTTTAGCTCGGTGGTGCCACCACTTGCCTCACAACTGAAACGTCCTGAGTTCAATCCCGGTACAAAAATACAAAAACAAAAACAAAAAAAACTCACTTTAGTCTCAAAGGGCTGCAAGAAACACTTCAGCAAATGGCTCTGCAGGTCTTCACTGCACTCGGCAACATCTTAGAGCACACAATTCCTTTCTGATCGGTCGGTGGGGCAGGGAGAGGTTAGTAAGCCTCACCCACAATTCTGACAGCCCAGACGCTGCGCATGCGCATACCTCTTGAAGTCCAGCTTGATGCCTTTGTCGCTGCGCTGGAGCTCGGCCAGCCAGGCCTGCAGCGTGGTGTCGCTGTGCGTGTCCGGCGGGTGCGCCATGACGGGCTGGCCAAATTCCTTTCTGATCGGTCGGTGGGGCAGGGAGAGGTTAGTAAGCCTCACCCACAATTCTGACAGCCCAGACGCTGCGCATGCGCATACCTCTTGAAGTCCAGCTTGATGCCTTTGTCGCTGCGCTGGAGCTCGGCCAGCCAGGCCTGCAGCGTGGTGTCGCTGTGCGTGTCCGGCGGGTGCGCCATGACGGGCTGGCCACATTCCGCGCCCACGCTGGCAAGCAACACGTCGGCCTCCACCATGTGGGCAGCGCCTGAGGAGATAGGAGCCGGGGTTCAGGCTGAGGAGGTGGGCGGAAGCTTCCCGACTCCTCCGGGGCCAGGAGCTCGGGCGCTCGCCGGCCAGTTTAGGCTTCTGGGATGGCAAACAGCGGTGAAATCTCCGTGGATTCCGGGCCACTGAGGCCTGAAGCCCCTGCCGCTCTCGCACATCCTCCCCAGTGCGTCAGACGTGAGGGAGCGGGGAGAGGGAGGCCTAGTGTCTGGGGATGTCTGCTGGGGATAAAGCAGGAGTAGTATTTTTATCTTCTCAACCTGGAAACCACGCTTATCTATTGCTCACGTTTGAAAGTGACGTGAAAAATGCATCTATTTGATTCCAAGCTTAGCTCCTGTGTGAGAGCCGTGGGCTCCGGGCCAGGCCTCAGCAGCAGCCGCAAATCCTCTCCAGCCCCCTCTCCCTGCCCGGGCTGCTCTGTGGCTCGCCTGAACCCGCAAAAGCAGTGGGAACGACACGGACCCAGAGTCCGTACAACCTCTGGCAGCCTCTGCTTCCGCCTGCCCGGTTACTGAAGGTGGAGAGGGCTCTGAGGAGGAGGAACATGAAGGAGGAGGAGCACGAAGACACCCGCCTGACAGTGGCCCTGAGACCAAGGACACACGGGGCAAGGGCTGACTCAGACTTCCAGGCCCGTGAGTGGCCCCTGACCTACCCCAGGGGGCTGCAGAAGGCACCACCAGAACCCACAGGATCTCGGAAAGGAGGCACTAAGCTCGAGCAGCCTGTTACACAGAGATGGCAGAGGCAGCTGTCCAGGAGTGGTGCATGGCCACAACCACCCATGAAAGGTAGGAGGCGGGGAATGTGTAGGAATCGGGACGGCAGCGCAGATTCTCCTAGGAAAGCTGCAGACATGGTGGTTCTGCTTGCTGGAGGAGTAAAACGTCCGACCCCTCACTTGTGGCACTGGCTAAGGCAGAGAGGATACCTAAGAAGCTGAGATTCGGCTAAGATGTCAGGGCGGATGCTGAAAATGCAGCCCAGTTTCTTCTACCTGCCTGTGGTAAAGAATGAGATGGAGGGCTGGAGATTTAGTTCAGTGGTGCCACCTCCACCTGCCTCGCAGTGCTGAGAGCTCTGAGAGGGGTGTCTCCTGTAGCCACAGGGCTGTTTCAAGGAATTCTAGAACAGTAAGGGTGCTGCCTCCCCCAGTGTGCACACCAAGCACCGAGACACCTCAGTGACAACTGGGTGCTGCTCTTTACTGGAGGAGTTGTTTATAGTCTGGTGTATAGAAAAGCCTACTACATTTTTTTGTCTGGCAGCAAGAATCTAACTCAGAACCTTATACTTGCCAGGCAGGTGTAGAGCCACTGAGCTACATCCTCGGCCTCTATGATTACTACATTATTTATTTATGTATTTATTTGTTGAACTGGGAACCTTGTACTTACAAGGCAGGCAGCGGAACCAATGAGCTAAATCCCTGGCCTAGCCTACTACATTTTTATGGGAGACAAAGCCATTTGGACCCAAAGGAACAGAAATAGCTCAAAAGACAAAGAGGGTTCCCACATTCTCCGGCAGGAAGCAGTCTGAGAAACCTAACGGAGCTACTTCCCAAGACACACACAAAAAGGACAACCTGCTTAGGGAAGACAAATCGAAGCCAACTCACACACACAAGAGAGCACGGTAACAAGTGTTGGCAGAGACACAGGAAAATCAGGACCCGCATCCACACTACCAGTGTGGATGTACAAAGGTGCTGCTGTTTTGGGGAAATACGACAGTTCCTCAAGTTCAACATAGTGATCGTGGCCCAGCAACTCCACTAGCCATAGCATCTAAGAGAAGTGAACACAAAACACTCATGTGGCAGCTGTATTCACAGTGGCAAAGGAATGGAAATGACACCAATGTTTCTCCACGGACGAGTGCATAAGCACAGCGTAGTGTATCCACGTGGAGAAAGATTCCACCACGAAAACGGGTGAGGGGAGGCTGGGGCGCAGCGCAAGGTGGAGCACTGGCCTGGCTAGTACGAGGCCTGGGTCCCCCCTCAGTCCTGGGAACAACGAGAAAAACAGCACCAGAACAGTGATGCGCGTTAGAACACCAGCGGACCTCGGGTACGTGCCGAGTGTGAGAGCGCAGGCACAGAAGGCCATATATGAGGGAAAGGTACAAGGGGCCACCCTGGGTCCTGATTCCGGGCCAGGATTACAAGAAATGGCACTTTTTAAAGCAGTGCAATTCAGCTGTGGCTAAAGGACACTAAGAGGTCAGTCAGGCAGGGATGAGTCCAGGTCAGGAGGGCGAGGCCCAACTCACTGCTCAGCGCTTCCTCCAGCTGTGCCCTGTGGTTGGCACCGTGGTACCAGGTGATCTCGGCGCCGTCTCCCCTTGTGATCTGGCGATTTCTCAGAAAATAGTCCAGGATGTTTTCACTCCAGCATCCTGCAGTAAAGAACGGAATCCACATGAAAAAGGCTATTGTTTTTTCAGGAGGTAAATGTTTTAAATGAAAATTTCTAGGTGTATATGTAGGATAGATTACAGGACACCAGCTTGAAATCGCACTGAGCAGGCTTTAAGATATTACTGATCTGGCGTATACTGCGGCAACTGATTAAAGTTATGAGTCACTCAAGGCCTATCTTGCTAAAGGAGTCCCCGGCTGGTGTTTAGAGAGCTCCCTGTGCCAGTGGCCACCACTGAGGTCTCCATGCTGGATGAGGTGGTGGTGTCCCTAATAGGAATTATGACTCCGCAGTCATTCTCCGAGAGCAAACGTTAGCTACGACCTGCAAGGTAACACAAGTAGCTTGAGAACTGTGACCCAACCTTCACAAGACTCCATTGTTCCTCCCTTTTACAGCCGGGCTCCTTACTGCCTCCAGTTCTGCGACTCCCTACATCTGCCTTCATGCCCCCTGCTATGTTGTATGATCACAAACACCGACTGATCCAGAGCCCGTGGTCCAGGACAGAGCTGAGATCAATTCCCAGCCCGCAAGTAATGAACTATCATTAGTTCTTTATTCCCTGTTCTCTGAATGTATGTTTCATCCCCTGCTGTAGCCTCGTCAGGCGATCAGACATCCCCTGGTGACTGTCAGGCATGGCCCACAACAGACAGCCTGATGGTATGAGGCCCATATGACAACGAAGGGCCACACCAAGGAAGCAAGGTAGCAGGCGCCACCAGACACAGCAGCTGGGGCTTATGCTTTTGTGGCAAGAATGGCTACACTGTACTCATTTCACACAACTGCCAGGTGTGTCCTCAGGCTGTGGGCGGGGTCCTAGCTTTCTGCTCCCACACCATCACGGTGCACTGTCTGCTCCACACGTCCCATCCCTTCTGGGGCAACCACTGTTTTGTTCCCCCCCTGTATACTTGAATGTTTTGAGAGTCCACATATTAAGTGAGGTCGTGTGTTTTGTTCTTTCTGTGTCTGGCTTATTTCACTCAGTGCAGTGATGTTCTCCAGGCTCATTCGGTTGTGCCTAAAGAAAGGTAAGACCTCACTCTTTTTGAGGAATGAATAAGATTCTAGTGTGTCCACATCTTTATCCCTTGTGGGTCAACACTCATCTAGTAGGTGGTCTCCACACCTCAGCTACTGTGAGTTAGGTTCACAGGGACATCTTTATGAGGGGGTGGCTGCTTTCGGGTGTATGCCAGAACAGAGACTGCTCGGTTGCGGGGGGATTAATAGAAAAGCAGAGGATGTATGGAAGGAGAATAACAAAGTAATTACAGACTTAGAAAAATACAAGATTAAGAAAACAAAACAAATATTGGCTATCAGAAACTGCCATAAAGCACTGAGGAGCTTGGTGGGGTGGCGCATGCACGTAACTGCAGCACTGGAGGCTGAGGCAGAAGGATCACTGTGACTCTGAGGCCAGCCTGGGCTACCTAGTGAGACACTGTCTCAAAGAAAAACGAAAAATAAATAAATAAAGCAAGCTGATGTTGACAGTCTGTGAATACACCAAAAACTGAATTATAGTCTTCAAATGAATAAAAATTATATGGCAATATTATTTAAAACATTCTAAATATCTACCATTTAATCCAGAAATCCCACCTCTATGAAATTTACTCCAAAAAAAGATATGCTTATATTGGGGAAATAACATTTCATACGAGAACATTTATTGCAGTATTATTTGTAATAGTGAGAGAGTGAAAATCTAAAATAAAATGTTCAGCAAAAAGAGTCACTAAATTATGGTGTATTGCTTTATGCAGCCCTTAAAAAGAATAATGTAACTTTGCGTACTGATATAAATGAAAAAATGGAAGCTGTGGGACAATAACGTAACTGTAATGGTAGGGAAAACAAAAGCAAAAGACGCGTGGGTTATAATCCCTGGCACCTGTCGAGCGTTGCTTGGCGAAAGGCCGGATGAGGGCTGCAGACAGCTCTAAGGCGCTAATCGGGCGCTGCGATGCGCGGGGAGCGCCGCGTGGGATCCAAGGTCTGCGCGGCCGGAGCGGAGTGGCCGGGCCCTGC